TATTTAATACTCCAAAATGTTGTCCTGATTCAGATTTTCGGAGAACACTACGGTGACAGAACTGGAAAAAACCTAAATTAGTTTGATTGTGTAATGGCAGCACGTTTTCCTGGTTGTTCATTTGTCCTATTTTCCATTGCAGAATGTTGAACTCCTGACCTGTTGTCCCAAGAGTAAATGTTACTGAGAAAGGATGCTATTGTCATTTGAGACTTTGTCTGTAATAGCAATTCCTTTTCCTGATTGTTATGTATTTTGTTCATTTTCTCCATTAGAGAAGCTTGGATTGAGAATGTCCGATTTAGAATATGCAAGTCAGGAATATAGTTCATACTGTGAGTTTCACTTCTTAATTGGCTAAAACTGAGTTGTATTAAACTAAATTAGGTATTATTTGATAGTTACTTAATGTGATTAGTCCACTATCTACTCAAGTATGACTGGCAGGGGGTTCAAGCTATCTCTATACATGTTTATAGTCAATGAGACCTGATTCAATCTTAGAAACTGACTATTTGTCACATGTATCTACTTATAAGAAAGAAATTAGTACTAACTTTTAGATTGGATAATGACCCAATAAGTTGAATTTATGATTCTTAGCAATATGATACAAGGATAGATATGCATAAAGGTAAAGGGTAACTATCGTAAATAGAACCTAAGAATAAGGCTAAATGAGAGAGATCTCTTATCTTATGGAATCTAATAAAGATTATGAATATAAAAGAAATGAACTAGAGTTGCTTCGCAGGGGATGCATGATTACTTGTGTAGAGCATTCCAAGGATTATGCTTGTGACCTAATAATATGTTTGGATCAATTTCTGTGTTAATTAAATAACAGACTAACTTTCCTTATGTGTGAATAACTTCAGGCTCAAACAAAGGATGGTTTCTTGTTAGGGCTTCAACGTGTGTCATCAGGCATTCTTAATTTGGGATCACAAACCGCACCTCCAGTTTTACTCCTACATGGACTCTTTATGGTGACTTTACCTTAAATTCTTAATTTCCAACTTTAATAATTATGGAATATGAACATTAAATCATCACTATATTACAAAATAAACTACATTTTAATCAGGGTGGTGATGCTTGGTTTATGGATTCCCCAAATGAATCATTGGGTTTTGTTCTTGCTGACCATGGTTTTGATGTTTGGGTTGGAAACGTTCGTGGAACAAAATGGAGTCATGGCCATGAATCTTTATCAGATGGAGACAAGGTAAAACATAGATTATGTTACACTTTTATAAACCTTTAGTCATTAATTTCAAATATATGCTAATTGCTTTTATTTTTGGGCTTGATTTAGGAGTTTTGGGATTGGAGTTGGGA